TTAGTGACATTAGTGGTCAATGTGTCACGGTGACTACTGATGGATAACGTCTCCCAGCCGGGACGACACGGGACCTGGAACTAATGAGGGTCCTTCTACTACCACGGTGATTGGCTGCTGTACTGTCCATACACTACATTGCCTCTCATTGGCTGTCCCACAACATAGCAGAGTCAGACTCCGCCCCCCGGGGGGGTACAGGCAACCAGATAATTGCCGAATATAATCCAGGCAGGCCGAGTACAGCCCCGGCTACCACTTAGGCCGGGTTCACACCGGGACATATTACATATCAGGAGCTTCTTTGGGGTGTTTTTGCGGCGCGTATACATTGGGATACAGCCAAGTAGCCCTCGGAAACGCGTGTTTGTCGCACGTTTTTTTACCGCGACTCGCGACAAACGCGCGTATTCGATACGCCTAGGTGTGAACCCGGCCTAAATGTCTAGTAGCCACATCACAGGTCATGGGGGCCACATATATAACAGGTTCTAATTATAATCTGCGTATGTTTGGGCGCCCCTCCACGGAGATATACATGCGATGCGACGGAGGATCAATGCTTGGAGGTATGTTATGGTCCATGACGGAGTAAGTGTGAAAACTGCGCCATATTTACATATACCATAGCGTGTACTGTATGTGCATTGCGTGTGCGTTGTGTCCTCATTGTTTGTGTGTGGAGTTGAACTGTCTCATTCTTTCCTCCATTGCAGATTGAAGTAGTGAATACATTCAAGAGCGGAGCTTCCTTTCAGGGGGCTCTGCGGAGACAATCCTCCACCGCCAGCCAGAACCAGGACGTAACGCATGTTTCTAGTCCTAGTCACGTGTCGCTAAGCAATGCTCTTTCCTCTCCTACCAGTGCGTCAGCTGCAGCCGCAGGGCGTGAGTGTCTTCTTACTGCGTCACATCCACAGAAATGCCAACTCTGGACCCCGTTCCTTCTCTGCCAGGACGCCAGCACAGATCATGGAAACATGTCATACATGCGTGTGGCCCTGCTGGC